AGGTCATTTCTCATCTCATTTCTCTTACCTTTTATCCGAACATTCGAACTGCTGGTTTGAGTTTGATTCACGCCAGGGTTTCTCGGCAGATTGATCAATTCATGCCCTCGCGAAAGCGTTCAGCCGAAGGACGGCGCAGAGGCCGTGACCGCTACCGGCTAAGTCGAGCGAGGACAGCCCAAGTAGAGTCGTCGGATCCCCCAGCTGAACCTCCAGTTACAGGCGAGGCGACTGCTGAGACTCATCCCTGGGTCACGAATGCGAATGAGATCTTTGCTATGGCTGTAGACGAATGCATACCCCCGGTTGATGGAACCGGATTCCCAGCCTTATCTCAATGGTATGATGATATTACATTCTCCGAGCGCTATGAGAAGCTCTCTATAGCACTCGCCAAAGCTCTCCACTCACGAGCAGAGTCCTGGTCCAACAGGAGCGACGTCTCTAGCTTTCTTCGAGAATATCAGTCTGCTACAAGGTCAGAGCAGAGTCAAGCAGCTTCTAAATGGGTCTCTTTGGGTATAGAGCGCGAGGCTGAGCAGTTCGCTCTGACATTTGCTCGCATTCTGGAATCTGCGGGCTTAGGTCGAGCGGAAACTCTCCTCGAATCAGCTTCCTCCATCTCTCCCCTTCGTGGGAGGCTTTTGGAAGTGCTATCTCGAGTTACATGGCCTGGTGAAGGACCCGAAGACTGCGCCTTTGCAGCTTTGTCCATGCATGGTATGCCTCTGGGGATATCGGTACCCATCCCCGAGGAACCGCGTGTATGGCCTGCGTCCATTGAACTGCCTCTGCGTCCAGGAGAACCTGAGGTGATACGCTGGAGAGGTTCCTCTGTACATGACCTGCCTCTCCGTCCTCAGATCGACGACAACGAGATGACCCGGCTGCTGGACGAACAGATCGATCGGGAGATCAGTGAAGGAAGGATGCTATCCGTGGACAGAGCAACCTTTGTTCGCCATGGTGATCAAGCCGTTAGTCGGGTCAGTGTGATCTGGAAGAATCCAGAGCACACTCGAATCAGAATCATCAGCAACTATCGAACCTCGGGGGTGAATCGAGCGTCCAGTATGGCAACCACGCTTCTGTATCCGGCCCTTCCGCAAATTCAACTTCTACTACGAGAAGCGACGCCAACCTCGGCCGTGGCCGAGTATGATATCAGCAGCGCATTTCGGACGCTACAAACCAACCCCTTGGAGACGGAGTTTTTGGCCTTACGCGATCCACGGAAATCTGCACCTCCCGAAGGTATATTGCTGGATCGATCGATTCCGTTTGGAGCCAAAGCTTCCTGCTCAGTGTTTGTCCGGGTTAATTCATGTATACATCGAGTACAACGCCGTCTATTGGGATGCAGACTTAGACCGGTGCCGTGTAATATTCCTGCGGTTGGTACACCGGGGGGAAATATGAGTTTGGTTCGACGTCCACGGGGCTTCATTTTTGTAGACGACTCGCGGTGGATCCTCGACAACATCATCCACCTCGTTATGTTATTGATGCTAGCGCTGACTGTCCGAGTGGGTATCGAGTACGGAAAAGTGCACTTCCTGGCTGATAACTGTCGGGTGCTCGGTTGGCAAGTGGATTGCAATGCCGGCCGCGTTGGCGATTGCTCGCCATGCCTTTCTATTCCTCCAGACAAGGCCCAACGCTACGCTGCAGCCATCAAGGAAATACTGGACAATGGAGTTGTCAGTACCGTTGAATTTGCCAGTGTAGTTGGGAAATTATCATGGTGTACTCAGTTAATGCGCCCATGCCATGGGCCCCATGGCGTCCGCATCTGGCCTCGCTGTTCGCCCAGAAAGCCGTTGCGGAGAAGCGCGAGTTGAGGACTCTTGGTGGGGGTGTGGAGGGCGATCTACGCTTCTTCTACGGTGAACTAACAACCCCCTTGCCGCGGATTCCTGCGAAGAAAATACTAATGAACACAGTACTCTTGGTTACCGATGCCAGCATAATAGGTTTGGGTGGTTATCTGAGGGTCAAGCAGGAAATCTACTGGTTCAATCTCAATAAGATGGATGACCCTTGTTGGTGGAACATGTTATGCGAGGTCAGAGCAGGAGAAGAACCGTCACAGTCCCGGGAGGCTGTCTCTGGTGACATCAGCTTCCTCGAATTGTCGGCTATATGCGTGGGGGTACTGGTGGCGGAGGCCGTGCTAGACACTGATCCTGACGACCAGACTGTATTGATTCACTCCTTCTGTGACAATTCCTCGGCCGTGAGCACCATCACCCGCTAGTCTTCAAAAGTGAGATCAATGCGGCGAGTCCTCTCACAAATCTCCCCATGGGCCAACCGCCTTACATCGCAACATGTTTCAGGCGTGTCCAATATAGCCGCTGATTACATAAGTCGGAATAGACGCGCATCCACTGTGAAACAGGTCCCAGCTAGCTGGACCCACCGTGCGTG